TATCTATCTATCATCTATCTATCTATCACCTATCTATTTATTTCTATGTGTATGGATGTTTTGCCTGTGTGTATAGAAGTCTGCCATGCATACAGTTCCCATGGAGTCAGAAAAGGACATCAGGTCTCCTAGAACTGGAGTTATGAACAGTTGTTTGCCACCCTATGCTCTTAGCCCCCAAGCCATTTCTCCAGCCTTTCAATAAATTATTTTAAATAAATGTAATTTCTATGTGTATGGATGTTTTGCCTGTGTGTATAGAAGTCTGCCATGCATACAGTTCCCATGGAGTCAGAAAAGGACATCAGGTCTCCTAGAACTGGAGTTATGAACAGTTGTTTGCCACCCTATGCTCTTAGCCCCCAAGCCATTTCTCCAGCCTTTCAATAAATTATTTTAAATAAATGTAGCTATTCAGCCCACAAATATATCTAAATGAAGGTTTAATATAATATTGGCTTCTTCCTAGAAGAGGTATCTGGATGAAATGGGGCAAAAAAATGCAACAACACTGTCTGAATTCATTCTATTGGGGGTCACGCAGAGGTCTGAACTACAGCTACCCCTTTTGGGGATCTTCTTCATCATCTATGCAGTCACAGTGGTGGGAAACCTGAGTATGATCATTTTGACCAAGCTGGACTCTCATCTGTACACACCTATGTATTTTTTCATCAGACACCTGGCTTTTATTGATCTTGGCAATTCCACTGTTATTTGTCCCAAGATGCTGGTAAATTTTGTTGTAGATCAAAATGTCATTTCTTTTTATGCATGTGCCACACAACTGGCATTCTTCCTAATGTTCATTATTAGTGAATTCTTTATCTTGTCTGCTATGGCCTATGACCGCTATGTGGCCATCTGCAATCCATTACTCTACAGTGTGATTATGTCTCAGAGACTTTGTCATGTGTTGGTGGGCATTCCATACCTCTACAGTACCTTCCAGGCTCTGCTGTTCACCACCAAGATTTTCACTTTGACCTTCTGTGGATCCAATGTCATCAACCATTTCTACTGTGATGATGTTCCTTTGTTACCTATGTTGTGCTCAAATGCTCAGGAAATACAACTGTTGATCATATTATTTTCAGCATTGAATTTGATCTCCTCACTCCTGGTAGTTCTGGGATCTTACCTTCTAATTCTGCGAGCCATATGTCGAATGCCTTCTGCAGAAGGCAGGAAGAAATCTTTCTCCACCTGTGGTTCTCATCTGACGGTGGTGGTGGTGTTCTACGGGACCCTGCTCTTCATGTACTTACAGCCCAAATCCTCTCACGCCTTTCAGACTGACAAAATAGCCTCTGTGTTTTACACCTTAGTGATTCCTATGCTTAACCCCTTGATTTACAGTTTAAGAAACAAAGAGGTAAAAAATGCTTTCTATAGAGTATTAAAGAATCAATGCAAATTTCATA